TGCTAAATCCATAAACTAGTACAAATGTTTGAAGGGAAATAGAAATGATAAAAGAGTAGAGACATGGGGATGTGGACGTCAACAACTACCTCGTAGTCTCCGAACGCTCGCCTGAAACTGGAAGAATCAGCACTCGGGAGCGGAACCAGCTACGCCTGAATCTGCACACAGGGTGCAAGGAGTAAAGTGAGTACTCCAACTCAGTGAGTAACAAATGTAAATAAAGACTGAAAGTAAGAAAACACGTAAGGCACAAGGCACTCTATAATGAAGCAGTAAAACCATTTAAAAGCAGTACAACAGTGGAAAGTCAAGTAAAATCCTCTTTCAACAAATAAACAAGTAATTGACAGGTAATTAAGCTAGAGTAACCAAATAGAAGTTCGGCCCTCGGACACAGTATCAACAAATTCACCCCTCGGGCAATATCTCCGAACAATACTAGCCCCTCGGGCTCAATCTCACATCACAATGGGTACCCGCGCTCACTGGGGGTGTGCAGACTCCTGGAGGGGCCCCTTACGGCCCAAGCGCAATATCAAGCCATCTCGTGGCATCAAACTAGGCCCTCGGCCTCATATGAATCAAGCCACCTCGTGGCGTACATATCTCAGGTCCTCGGCCTCATATCAGTCAAGCCACCTCGTGGCGTACATATCTCAGACCCTCGGCCTTATATCAGTATCAGTGTTTCCTCACAACGTAGGCCCTCGGCCTTACTCAGTCAAAAATTATCACAAGCCTCTCGGGCAATAGTAAAACAGTGTTTCTCAGCCCAATCATCATTTAAAATATCATTTAAGTATTAAAACTGAGTAAACATGGCTGAGCAGTAAAACGGTGAAAAATAACATGACTGAGTTCAAGTATAAAGTCAAAACAGAGAGGAAATATCAATAAAAATTTCCGAGGAGTTCAAATAGTTGGCACGAAGCCTAAATAAGACATTCAGCCCAAATAATGATGATAGCAATTAGTTTTCAATCAAATACGCGGTAAAATCATCAATCGAGATGGACCAAGTCACAATCCCCAATAGTGCACGACTCCATGCTCGTCATAAAGCGTGTGCCTCACCTCAATATAGCAATACGATGTGCAAATCCGGGGTTTCAAACCCTCAGATCATCATTTACAATCATTACTCACCTCGAACCGGCTAAATCTCTAGCTCGTGACGGCTTTGCCCCTTGAATCGGCCTCCACGCGCGTCGAATCTATTTAAAATCAGAACGAGTACGTCAAAATATGCTAAGGGAACAAAGCCCAAGCGAAAACAATCAACAAAGGGCACAAAATCCCGAAATTACCAAACCCCGACCCCCGAGACCACGTCTTGAAATTTGAAAATTTTCACATCAACGGATTCCTTATCTCCCCACGAGTTTATACATACCAAGAACATCAAATTCCATCCACAAATGACCCTTCAAATCCCAAATGTTTGATCTCCAATTTCAAGCCCTAGTTCTTCAATTTTAGGCTTAGATTCTATGATTTTCTAGGTGAAATTCACATAATAATCGAGTTTTAAGTCCAAAAATCTTACCTCCCAATGATTCCCCTTGAATCCCTCTTCAATATCTTTCAAAAATCTCCCAAAATGATCAACTATGGATGAAATAAACCCAATCCTCGTGGACAAGACGAGTTTAAAAACATTCTGCCCAGACCTTATTTTCCTTCTTCGCGAACGCGGTCAAACCCTCGCATTCGCGAAGCACAAATTACTTCGACCAACTTTTCCTCCTATGCGAACGCGACATGGCCATCGCGAACTCGATGGTTCCTCAACCCTTCCTTTCGCGAACGCACCCCTCTCTAGCGAACGCGAAGAACAACCGCGACCTCAGACCAGCTGACCAAAAAGACCCTACGCGAACGCGACTTACATCTTGCGAACGCGATGCACGAGCTTCCAGCCCTTCGCGATTGCGGAGCCTCCCTCGCGAACGTGAAGGCTAAAATTTCACTGATCCCCACTGACTCTTCACGAACGCGAGGCTCCACTCGCGAACGCGAAGAGTAAAAGCCTGATACAGCTGAGCCTGCAACTTCTACAATTTCCTAACTCCAAAAATGATCCGATAGACCACCCGAAACTCACTCGAGGCCTCTGGGACCTCAACCAAAGGCACCAACATATCCTAAAACCTTATTCAAACTTGTTCCAATCATCAAAACACCTCAAACAACATCAAATCACCCAAAACACATTGGATTCAAGCCAAACTTTCTAATATCTTTCGAATTACGCTTTTGATTAAAAACCCAACCAAACCACGTCCGAATTACTTGAAATTTTGCACACACATCCCAAATGACACAATGGAACTATTACAACTCTCGAAATTCCATTCTGACCCCTATATCAAAATCTTACCTATCGACCGAAAATCGCCAAAATATCAACTTTGCCAATTCAAGCCTAATTCTACTCTGAACCTCCAAAACCCGTTCCGATCACCCTCCTAAGTCATGAATCACCTACCAAAGCTAACCGAATCATCGGAACTCACATCCGAGTCCTCTAACACATAAGTCAACATCTGGTTGCCTTTTCCAACTCAAACTCCCTTAAAAGAGACTAAGTATCTCAAACCTTACCAAAATCATTCCGGACTCGATCCGACCAACCCGATACCATAAAACACGGATAAAGAAGCATAAAGAAGCAAAAATGGAGGAAATGGGGTGGTAACTCATGAGACGACTGGCCGGGTCATCACAACAGGTTTATTTGGAATCTGGTCCTAGCCTCGTCACTACCTCACCGGGGTTAGGTCAGGCACTTACCAGCACATGGGGTCGGTTGTGCTGATGCTACACTCTGTACTATGTGCAGATTCCAGAGCAATTTTTGGACAGTAGCACTTGGGGAGCCGGCCTTCAGTCCAGCCAGAGATCCCGAGGTAGTCCTGCAGGCGTCCGCAGGCCCGGCATTCTCTTCTACTTTATTATGTACTCTGTTTTCATTAGATTTCGAGACAGATTGTATTTCTTTCAGACATTTGTTGTAGTAATCTTAGTCCGTCCGTGATATTGTGACACCGGATTCCGGGTAGAGATGTGTGTTGTCATTATCGTACTGATCTTGTTTATTATATTAGATTAAGTCTTCCGCTTGATTTCATTTATTGTTAATATCTAAATGTTGGATACCTGTTAATTCAGATTGTTAAAAAAGGTTAAAATGAAAGAGTTAAAATTTTTCTATGTTTAGTGGCTTGCCTAGCTTCTACGAGTAGGCGCCATCACGACTCCCGAGCGTGGGAAATCCGGGTCGTGACACAGTCAACTTGATTTACAATTTTAGATTAATGTACAAAGTGACATAAACAAAAAAGTACAATATATTACTTAATATGTCTACAATATATTACTTAATATGTCACATTCTACTGCTCCTTAAAATTAAATAAAGTGCAATTTCATATGCAAAATGACGTAGATATTGACCCGGAAGAATAGGGCAATAGAACTTAAACCTAACTCTATTTAATTGCTTTAAGATTTTTAAGCTTTTATTTCCATTGAACATGAAATGTCATCATCAGACTAATGCTTTAAAATGTACACATGAAACCTTAGCGTTTTAAAAGAAAAATGTATAAAAATATAGAATCTTATATGGACAGAAAAAGATCACATGCCTTGCATGCATGGCTCTTTTATCCAAATCTTTGAGGTTCAGCATATGCTTTCATTTATAAATAATTACAAGATTCGTGTTACTTTTAAGTTTCCTGTTGAACAATATAATTTACGAAATATTGCAGTAAAAGTTGTAATGTCACACGATAATTGAAACAAATGAGTAGTAGATTATCTTTCTAATTTTCATAAATAACAATACTAATCACGTTAGTAGGTATCGGTTGATTGTCTAATTTATTGAGTCAATAATTAAAAAGGTGAGTTTCTTAAAAGCATTTTAATCATAGAAACTCTATGATAGGACTATCTCTTCTCAGATCACACGTGAAAATGTTGAATACTTAACATTGCAAATAGGTGTAAAAGAATTTACACATGTGAGAAAATTTACTAAATGAAACAAAAGATTAAACTGGAGATAAGTGTAATGTTTAAAAATTATATATAGGTGTGGTAAAGTAGGGAAACATTGATGAAGCTTTTGAGAATATTCCTCATAAATACTTAGAAATTTACTAGTAAAATTTTGAAAGCTGAACCTGTACATGTAGAAGTAATATTGTTAACATGTTTAATATATCACTCAATCTAACGTGAATTAAAATATATTTGCTAAGGCCTTATTTAAGTCCTTCTCTAATAGTAAAATTCAACTTTTATACATTGACGACATAGATGAACGTTATGTTATCAAGCCGCTTTAAAAATAATTAAGAAAAGTAACTATCTTTAATTAATAAAAATAATAAGCTAAAAGATCATATAAGTAGTCTTCTGTAGCATATTAATTTTTGTTGATTGTCTAACAATCAATCTATTTTGCTAGTGGATATATAAAATTCAAATAGTACTCCCTCCGTTTCAATTTATGTGAAATTGTTTGATTGGTTACGAAATTTAAGAAAAAATGAAGACTTTTAGAATTTGTGGTCCTAAACAAGTCAAAAGGGGGTCTAGAGTATTTGTGTGATTATAAATATTTCTCATTAATGACAGAATTAAAAGTTTAAGTTAAATTATTTTCAAATTTAAAAAAGATTATTTTTCTTCAGAAAAAAGTAAATAGGTTCATGTCAAGAGTATTATTAATCCAATCTAACAAGACGGTGTCCGTCGAGTAATTGACACCTGTCATGCTATCTCTGCCCTTTTTGCGTGTAAATCCATCATCTCCAATCACATCTGCCAAGTTGGCTTTTCTTAATTTTTTCCTAATTTTTTTAACTTGATTTTACAGTTTCGTGCTCGTCTTCTATTCTCACCATATACTTTGAGTCGCCATACGACCATAGTAACATTTATGAAATGATGACAAATCCAAATTCACATGAAATTCAAATTAACTTCCCTCCTCTCGCCATCACAGCTTATATATACATCATCAGCCTTTGAAGTTGTCTCTGCACTTTACTGCTTTCCCTCAGAGAGATATAACACTACATCATATATTTAAACAGAGACAATTTATTATTTAATTTTTATTATGTATCTTTTTCTGGGGTCGCCGGAAAATCAAGATTCCGGTACCCTGAAGTATTTAAAGAAAGCACATAGTACTATTGTATATACATAACACTTTCTTTTCACAATTACCGGAAAGTAATTAAAGTATCTGTAATTAGATATAGAGGTGACGTTAAAATGGCAAAAGGTCGAAAACTGACCACCAGTATGAGTGAAAGGTACTTAGGAAGCTATAGTTACAATCATGGAAATGAAACAGTCAACGAAACCTCGGAGTTGGGAGAAGATGATGTCTGGTCAACGGTTGATGACATGGTCAACGGCGATGATCATTTGCTGAATGGCTCAAGGAGCGACTGGAGTTCACGTGCCACCGCCGAGAGTAACAGAAGCTTGAGGAGCCGCCGCCAAACTGGAGGCTTGTCGTTGGCTTTTGACGATCCAGGTACAACGACACAGCCTCGGATCTTGCACCAGTTTCGTGGACAAGACAACATGACAGTGCAATCCCCACGTGAGCGCCACATGGCATCCTCAGCTCCAGTGAATGTCCCTGATTGGTCCATGATATGTCGGGTCGACTCGGTCGAGTCATTCCACGACTCGGACGATGGTGTCGATGATCATGAGTTGGAGATGGTTCCGCCACATGAATACTTGGCTCGTGGGTACGGTCGGTCCCGAAGATCATCTACTAACTCGGTATTTGAAGGCGTGGGCCGGACGCTGAAGGGTCGAGACATGAGCAGAGTCAGAGATGCAGTGTGGAGTCAGACCGGGTTCAATGGCTAAGCCAAATGTTTAATTAGCTATCTGTTCAAATTGAACAATTCAGTAATTATTGGCAGGGTGAGGGAAATGTTGATACAGTCATTTAATTTGCTAGTGTAAATTTTTTGTTCTTGGGCAATGATTCAGGCCGAATGAATATAGATAGGCTCAGTGAGTCAACCAGGCTATGACTGAGCCCAAGTATAATTCTGTGTTTCCCATTTTTACTGCTTTTCCCTCTTTTATGATCTGTTAATTGAACAGTGTTTGGATGAAAAATTGAAGTCTAATTCTTTTTTTAAATTAATAATTTATACGTATTGACCAAATTAGGGAATTTGGCCAAATTCTTAACCTTTTCTGCCCCTGACAATGACTCCAACGGTTCCACCTGCATTTCTTTTTTCTGGACAATCATAATGCTCGAGGAAAAGAAATAAAAAACAACAGTTTCAAAAGCTTGTAAATTACGAGACATATATAGTTGCTTGGAATTGGAATTACAGTTTGGTAATTGTAACTTCACAATATGCAGTACATGATTTCAACATATCAAAAGCCCTCTTTAATCTCTTTTACCTTTTTTATCACCATACATAGGCCCATCCACCCCTAAAATTTTAGAAAAGAAAAAGAACAGAAAAAAAATAATATAGCTAATTATGAAATTGATTGATCAGCCATCACTTGTCAAATGTCTTTTAATAACTCCTATAGAAAAGCTAAAATAACGTATGACGTATGATATATTATTAGAATGTCATTATCAAATGGCTTAACTAGTTTTCTATTTATGATAGGAGATTCCAATTTCATTTTGAGGAAAATTAATTTAAACCTTCTTTTATCTGGAAATTGTAAGCTAGTGTTATGGCAGCATCAATCTTTTACTCTATAATATAATGGAGCTACTTAATGGGCCATTTTCAATTAATCCCACTATAAGATGACAAGGTGTGTGGGACAGTGCAATAATTGAAGTATACTGAGGGTGGACCTTATTACTAAGTAGGATGCGTTTTATGAGACGCACCATTGTGTCTATTTGATCTATGTTTTACAATACAGGAACACATTAGCCAATTTAAAGTCAAGCAAATTTAATTAAGACTAGAGTTCATATGAAATTCCTTTATAATTTGAAGCTTGAATTTTACCAAAAAAAAAAAAAAAAAAAGTGCCCAAAGCCTGCTTGTGAATTGTGTATATGGAAGGCCCATCAGTATTTAAGGTGATGAAGCCATGTTTGGGAGGCTTCCACTTTACATACATAAGTATTGTACCGTGAGTATGAGCATTAGTGTTAGTTAAAAAAAGATGTTACGCAGTTAGTTGAATAATTAAGTTTGGTGATGGGAGAGTCCCAGTGTGTTCGAAGCATTTTTTATTTCGAGTATTCCACAAATGCCATAATGCAAAAGAAATGAGATTTTTTAGAGGAATGTTGAGTGTGTGAACTTACCCTTTTGATGAATGAGGTATCTAAGCCAGTTGTGGTTAGGACTGTCGTGTGTGTTGACTGATCGTATAAGACATTGTAGTTTAAGCTTTTGCCAACAATGTGTTACATGGACACATTTTAATAGAATGTGCACAATAGTCTCTTGTTCCATCTCATCCGAGAAAAGTCATTCTGTTTTTGTTGAAGCGGTAGCTATGGGTAAAAAGTCTTTAAAGGAGTGAATTTCTTTCTGCTAGATAGATATTACTTGAGAGGGAACTTTAGCCGCATCTCAACCCATCATGATTAATAAAGAATAAAACAATCTCGAAAATTCTTACCAAAATAAATATTCGAAGATAGACCTTTGTGGTCCGACCCTTCTCCGGACCCTGCGCATAGCGGGAGCTTAGTGTAAGATTTTCTTACGTTAACTTATTTGTGGTCCAATAAGTTTAAGGCCCATAATTAATATTTAATTAATGAGCAAGTCTCATCCGTCCGATCGGTTATTTGATGGACGTACTGGATTAAATGAGAACTTCTATAAATTGGTCATCTCCCCACCCATTAGGATTACCGTATTTTTTTTCTCTCTTCTATCACTAAAGTCGGCGGTAACGAAAGTTAGGGCAAGGGGTGAGAAACCAATTTTAATTAACACTTCCACTTCGTGATAATGGCTTACGATTCAGGTATGTTTTCTGTAACAATTTTATGTACGATTATCATGTTCAAGATCCTGGTATACAATTAAAATATATGTTTACATATGGTATTAGAGCGTGAGGTTTGAATTGATAATCCTCGTAAAAAAATATAGAGTTATACATACACCCTTACGGATTACGGTATTGTGACTTCTCTGTGATATAAGATTATTCCTCTATTAATATTTCTGACTTCATATTATATATGCAATTGCTGGGCATAATCCAATAATAGTATGTGTTAAGAATCAAATTTGTCTTTGAGTTTGTACGAAAATTGACTGTATTGATCTATTATTCTAGATCCTTATTTCCCTTAAAATCACTTTTGGCATAATGAAGAATCCTCGAAGGCGCCGAATGAATGAATGAAATCAATACCTATAAAGTTCTGGCATATTCTAAGTAATTAAGTTTTCTTCAGTCTAATTATTATTTTATCATTAATATATATAAACATATAGCATGTCTATGTAAACCTATTACAGGAAGTTTCAACTATTATGTTTTGGACTAGAATATTTGGTTTTAATATTTAAACTTTCTGGACCATTAAAGTGATAATATTTTATTCCTAAATTTTTGGAATACACACGTAAATTTCACATGCCACATTGATTGGAATTCGGTTCTTACATTGTGAAATAATTAATGTATGTGTTTATAGTTATATAGTTCGTTAGTCACCAAAATGATCAAACTAGAATGTCTAAATTTTTTATTGTATGTGTGTATTTATGTTCATATAGTTTGTTAGTCACCAAAGTGGCCAAACTAGTATATTTAAGAAATTACGCATGCATAAAATTATAGTTTATTCATAAAAACTAATGAAATGCCTATTATTGAAAATAAATGGATAAACTGGCTTTCACTATTGCTAGAACTTAAGGATTTACCCAAAGGTAAATAAATTATTTATGAATAGTGATATGATGAGGTAAAGTAATATTCTTAGTCAAATATATATTGTCTGTCCAAAGATGGCATATATATTTGGTTAAAAATATTTAATTACCTATTAAAGACTAAATGGGACTTAAATTATGATAGCGTGTCGTAGTATTTACCCAAAGGAGAATTGCGATATGCTTTAACTATTTTGTTGAGTCTATATTGATTTGTGAGCATGTATTATCTATTTTGCAGCTATTCCTTTTCATTCGCTTGCTTCGTCTGTTACTATTTTCAATGGATTGAACTTCTCTGAATGGCGTGAATAAGTCCAGTTCCACTTAGGTATGATGGATCTTGACTTGGCTCTGCTGAATGATAAGCCCGCTGCCATTATTGATTCGAGCCGTGCGGATGAGAAGTCTTTCCATAAAGCATGGGAACGCTCTAACAAGCTAAGCCTTATGTTTATGCGAACGAATATTGTCAACAACATTAAGAGTACTATTTCACAAACAGAAAGTGTCAGGGAATACCTAAAGTTTATGGAAAAACGTTTTCGTTCTGCAGATAAGTCTCTCGCTGGTACAATAATGGTTGAACTCACGACCATGAAGTTTGATGGGTCACGTAGTATGCAAAACTATATTATCAAGATGACTAACATTGCAGCAAGACTTCAGACCTTGGGGATGAAAGTGGATGACTCTTTCTTGGTTCAGTTTATTCTGAACTTGTTACCTCCTGAGTATGGACCTTTTCAAATTAACTATGACACTATTAAGGATAAGTGGAATGTTAGTGAATTGTCCAGTATACTTACTCAGGAGGAGTCAAGACTTATGAAACAAGGGAGTTATTCAATTAACCTCATGGGTCAAGGAGCTAGTAAAGGACTTAAAGCGAAGGCCAACAAGTTCAAGAATAAGAAAGCACCTGCTAAAGCTCCACAGGATGCTAAGAAGGAACATAAGATAGATATGTGTCGTTTTTGTAACAAGGAAGGACACTATCAGAAAGATTGCCTGAAACGTAAAGCTTGCTTTGAAAAGAAAAGTACAATTACTGCTTTTGAATGTTTCGAATCAAATTTAATAGAAGTTCCTAATAATACTTGGTGGCTTGATTCTGGTGCAACTGCTCATATATCTACTACATTGCAGGGATTCCTTACGATCCAAACTACAAATCCAAATAAGGATTTCTTGTTCATGGAAAATCATATGAAGGCTCCAATTGAAGGCATAGGGACTTATCATTTGATCATGGAGACTGGACGTCACCTTGATCTATTATAGACTCTTTATGTACCTTCAGTTTCTAGAAATTTGATTTCTCTTTCAGGAATTGATGTTTCTGGATTTGATTTAAAGTTTGAAAATGTATGTTTTAATTTATATAAGAATGCTATTTTTTATGGTTCTGGTTTTCTTAGTGATGGTTTATATAAATTGAAACTCGATATTGGTTTTTCTGAATCCCTTCTTGCTATTCAACATAATGTTGGAATTAAACGTAGTTCACTAGATGAAAGTTCTTCTTACATATGGCATAGATGTTTGGGTCATATATCCAAAGAAAGATTAGAAAGATTAGTAAAGAATGAGATTTGCTGACGGAAATATTGGAGGAAAGGCATGGCGGGGAAAGAATGGCGGAGATCCTTCAAAGTCTAAGCACCGAAGGACGCATCCGAATCTAAATTACTGATCTTACTATATATTTGGATTGCATTAAGGGAAATCAAACCAAGCATAGTAAGAAAGGTGCCACAAGAAGCACCCGTCTTCTTGAAATTATACACACCAATATTTGTGGGTCCTTTGATGTTCCATCTTTTGGTGGAGAAAAATACTTTATCACTTTTATCGATGATTTTTCACGTTATGGATACATCTATTTGCTGAAAGAAAAATCTCAAGCAACAGATGCTCTCAAAGTGTTTGTTAATAAAGTTGAAAGGCAATTAGATAAAAAGGTAAAAATCATTTGGGGTTGCCTAGCAGAAGCTAGAGTTTATAATTCACAAGAAAAGAAATTAGATTCTCTAACAGTAATTAGTTACTTTATTGGTTACCCAGAGAAATCTAAAGGGTTGCATTTTACTATCCAAACCATAGTTCGAGAATTGTTGAAATCGGTAATGCAAGATTCATTGAGTATAGTAAAGTTAGTGGGAGTGTTGAAAAACAAAGTGTGAAAATAAAAGAGGTGGG